CCCAGGTCCCTTTCTGCCTGGGCACTGTCCAGCCACACTGTCCCCAGCCTGTGACACTGCAGGGGGTTATTGTGGCCAAAATGCAGGACTTGGCACTTGGACTTAGTAACTTTATCCCGTTGGACTCTGCCCATCCATCCAAATGTTCCAGGTCTCTCTGCAGAGCCCTCCTACCTTCCAACAGATCAACACATGCTCCCAGCTTAGTGTCATCTGCAAATTTTACACAGTGCTGTGTGATGACACTCAGTATAAACTGTTCCATTACCTTACCAGGTACTGAGGTCAGGCTAAGTGGCCTATAACTACCAGGATCCTCCTTCCTACCCCTTTTTGTGAATGGGTATCACACTGGCCAGCTTCCAGTCATCTGGAATCTCCCCAGTGAGCCAGGACTGCTGGTAAATTATGAAGAGTGGCCTTGCAATTTCATCTACTAGCTCCCTCATCACCCTGGGGTGGATCCCATTTGGTCCCATAGATTTATGAAAACCAAGCTGCTCAGCAGTTCCCTGACTGCCTCCTCCTGGATAACAAGGGGACCATTCTGCTCCCTGACACCATCTGCCAGCCCAGGAAGGCAGCTGTCCTGAGGACAAACCATCTTCCCACTAAAGACTGAGGCAAAGAAGCTGTTAAGCACTTCGTCCTTCTCATCTGCAGTTACTAAGTTCCCTCCTGCATTCAATAGAGAATCAAGGTTGGTCTTACCCTTCCTTTTGCCATTAATATATTTGTAAAAACATTTTTTATTGTCCTTTACAAAAGTTGCCAAGTTAAGTTCTAACTGAGCTTTGGCCTCTCTAATTTTTTTCCTACATGCCCTAGGAACTCCCTTAAATATTTTCTGAGACACCTGACTCTCCTTTCAAAGATGATACATCCTCTTTTAATTCCTACGTTCTTTCAAAACCTCATTGCCCATCCAGGCTGTGTGTCTGCCTCGTTGACTAATCTTTCAGCACCCAGGGACAGTCTGTTCCTGTGCCCTCAAGATCTCTGTTTTGTAGCACACCCATCTTTCCTGAATTCCTTTGTTTTTAAGGACTGCTTCTCAAGGAACTCTTTGAATAAGTCTCCTAAACCGGCCAAAGTCTGCCCTACAGAAATCTAGTGTGAATTTTTTTATTGATGGTCCTTCTTATTTGACCAAATATCGAGAACTCTGTAATTTCATGGTCACTATGCCCCCAAACGACTTCCAACCACCCCATCTCCCACCAGCCCATCTCTATTCACAAACAGCATAGGTCTAACATAGTCTCTCTCCTGATGGGGTCACTCACCAGCTGTGACAAAAAGTTATCCTTCACACACTCTAAGAACGTCCTGCACTGCCTCTTTTCTGCTGTATTAAGTTCCCAGCAGATGTCTGGCAAGTTAAAGTCACCTACAAGAATAAGGGCTGGTGATCCTGGTGATGCTGAAGAAGAGAGGTTTTAAAGAGAGCAGCGTCACTGCTGATGGAGAGATCTCAGGAAGACGCTGCAGTATTCCAGCTGTACACACAGCAACTCTGTTTTTTTATGGTAAATAACAGAAAGGGGCACTGCAGGCATGTCAATAAACTTGGATATTCACTCAGGGGTAAATACTTGGAATAATAATGCAGTAGTTGCAAGCTCAGCAGAAAAATATGTCTTACTACAATACTAGGGCAACACTGTCTTAAGTCCTTAAAACAATCTGAAAAGAAATAGACATTGCTACTGGGAAAACATCAGTCACCTTTCACTCTCGCCTTTGAAATTAAGTGCTGTTATTTTTTTTTTTTTTTTTTTTACTTTATGGCAAAAACTTCTGTCCCCTGAACTGAGAAAATGACCTCTTCTTGAAGACACTGCACTCAGTTTAAACCTGAGTGTTATAGTCTTCTGTCAATCACTTCTTCCATTACTAGACCAATGAATTTCTACAATAACCTTGTACTTGAGTCAATTCCTTCTCTGCTTTTCACAAGATTGCATTTTATCCCAGCAGTTTCTTTCAGAAGAGGTTCTGTGCTTTGTATTTCCCTGGCTGAGAAGCACAAAGCACCTGAAGTTCTGCAGAGCCCCAGCTCCCACACAAGGCTTGTTACAAACCAACCAGCTGAACAAAACACCCTTTACCATCACCAGTATAGCAGTAAACCATGAATATTCATGAGTTATTACCCTGGTTTTATAAATTAACTCCATCACAGTTTTCCATGTAGTCTTCACTTCTGTCCCTTCTAGCTATATTCTGAAAATAACTATCCCAAAATCTCTGGTGGTTTTAGCAAACAGGCTGTCAGCATAAACCTGATGAAAGAGTGCCTTGATTCAGGAGAAGGGGCGTTTGCTCCAACATATGGTGTTGTCTGCTGACACTTGAAGAATGGGAAAGACCACTCTGAAACAGTGACAGAAAAGATGAACAAGTTCTCGTTCACATTTGCATGGGAGTTGAGGTGGGACCTCATCCTCCTATGGAAGAGCTTCCACCACAGGGATCAGGAAGGTGCTTCTCCCTCCTGCTCTCTCTGTGTGGGAAGATGTGATTCCTGCAGAGAGCAAGAGGCACTTCGGGTGGAGCTGTTGTTCGACTTTGACACTGCACTTGGACTGGGATAACAGAATCATAGGATGGTTTGGGTTGGAAGTGACATTAAAGATGATCTCGTTCCAACTCCTCCCCACCATAAGCAGGGACACCTTCCCAAAGACCAGGTTGCTCAGACAGTCCCATCCAACCTGGCCTTCAACATTTCCAGAGATGGGGCATCCAGAACTTCTCTGGGCAAGCAGTTCCAGGATCTCACCACCCTCGCAGTAAAGAATTTCTTCCTAATATCTGTCCTTGCGACAAATCCTTACAAAAAGGATGAGCAGAGATGCCCAAGCTTTAGTTCAGGGGTGCTGGGGGATGAAGGACAGCAAAGGAAAAGCTTTGAGTGCAGATATAAGTGATTTTTTTTCAGAAGAGGAAAGATGTGTGGGGCAAGCAGGAACGATTTCCCGAAGCAGCATTCAGGCTGGGGCTGGGACACTGCTGAGGGACCAGCCTACTCTGGTGATTTTTCTGCATTTTTCAGTGAGTGGTGAAGCCAGCCATGGGGTATGGTCCCACCCCCAGGATCTGCTGTGCCTGTATGGGTTCCACATCTCATCACAGGGAGTTGCCACACCCCTGCACAGCTCCCCCACCATGCACTCGTGGCTATGTGTATGTATACACACACATATTCAATGTACATATTTATATACAATTGCAATATATACAGTATGCACTCTGTGTGTGTGTATGCATTCATCTGCAACTGATCTGGAACCGATCCTTCTGCCATAGAGCCAAGGCCCCAGCACTTGCCAGATTTCTCACAAATAGTTTACAGTGCGAGCCCAGCTCTCCCTTGCTCTCTGCTGGCACAGGGTCAGCAGGAGGTGAGATGCTCGTTATGGTCTCCAGAGTGCTGTGGGTCTCTGCTGCGGGAGAAGAGAGAGGTTTGTGTCTGAGGATGGGTAAGGAATTCATTAGGAATTCATCTGGGGTGTTTCTGGCATCTGCAGGGGAAGGAACTGGTAGAAGATTCATTCACCAAGGGAAGGTGTAAGTACGAATTCAGAAAAGGCAAGAGTAAGTTTATGCACCATTAGAGTTATGAAACTGCTGGGCAAGGGCTCATAGTTTGTGGACTTGGCTTTTGGTCCCCAAGTTCTTACAATAAACTAAAACTGTCCATATGTAGGGAAAAAAGTTTTCCATATTATTTTTTAAAGCTGATCAGTTAAAATTCGTTGGGATTTTCTGTAGGTTTGGGCGGTGGAAGGAAGGGAGACAGAGAAAAACCTGAACTAAGTCACCTTTGGTTGATTCTGTTTATTTTTGCCATCAGGACAATCTCTCCATTTCCACGTACTGTTACAAGGATCTGACAAACAGGGTTTATATCAAGAGCAATGCGAAATGACATGCTACAGCCATTTAATTTTTTTTTAAGCTCCCCTGTCAGAATAGCCTGCACGAGCCGCTGAAAGGTCTTTACCAGTCTCACTGGATTGATTGTGTGTAACTACAAAAATAAAATTGCTTCTGGGAGGTGGCCGAGCTCACGGGTGGGAGCCTGGTCCTGCCCATAGGAATCCCGCCCTCCCGGAGCGCGGGGTGCCCAATCCCAGGGGATGGATCCCGGGCTGCGGTGCCGGTGCCGGTGCCGGTGCCGATACCGGAGCGCTGCCCTGGCCCCCCCCGGCCCCGCCGCCTCCCCGCCCGTCCCCGCCTGGCCCTTCCCTCCCTCCCGCTCCTCCGTCCCTCCCTCCATCTCCATCCTGTCCTTCTCCTCCCGCACAGGTGGGACTCCTCTCCTCTCCTGCCGCCCATGCCGCCGCCGTGTTCCCGCGGGGCCCTGCCCGGGACCCCCCTCCTCCTCCTCCTCTTCCTCCTCCTGCCGCTGCTGTGCGCGGCCCCCGGTGAGTGAGCGCGGGATGCGGGATGCGGGATGCGGGGAAAGCAGAACCCGGCACGGCAAAAAACTTTCCCTGGCATCCCGCGGGGGCGAGAGCCTTGGGACCTTGCTCCAAACCTTGTGCAAGTTGGGCATCCTTTTAAAAAGGCGCTTGTTTGCCAGCGGCTGAAGCACTTCGGAAGAGCCGAGCGCTTGCAGGTCTCCCGTTGCGCTGCCGGTGTGGGGATCAGTAGGATGACTGCTTCGATGTGCTTTGGGGCAGGATGCCAGGCACAATTTTGGAGCGGTCTGATTGTTAGCACAGACCTCACCCAGTGACCAGGGGTTTTCAGCATTATCATGCTGCTCTGGGTGCTGGTACTGGCACCAGCTGCAGTTTTCTGATGAAAAATATAATAATTGAGTTGGTGAAAAGAGGCCAGAATAGGGTTTCCTTTGCCAAGAGAGCTGGGGAGAGGATGCTGGAGTGTCAGAAGCTCCCCTGCAGTGTATATTGAGCTCAAGTGTGGAAAGGGGAGCAAAGAGAGCAAGTTTCTCCTGGGAGAAACTTGTCTGCTTTGCCTGTTGAACTGGAGCTATGACAAAAATACTTCTGGCAATTTTTGAGAAATAATATTTTGTTGTTATTTCCTTCTCAGTAAATGCATGTGTTTTATTTTGATTTCTCTAGATGTTTCAAGGGGAAATAAGCTTAAACTGATGCTTCAGAAACGAGACGGTAAGTAGAGCCAGCAAAGTGCTTTCCTTTGTTTTTCCTCGGCTGCTGTCAGTCCGAGCTGCCGATGAGCTGTCCCTGCACCTCCAGCTCCAGGAGCGCAGGCACAACAGGAGGCTGCAAGCACCGGGCCACACTCACTACGGGCCACACCAAAACCTCCTGCTCAGGCAGAGCCTCTGCCTGCCTGCTGTTTGGGATGTTGGGCTGCAGGCTCTGCTCCCTCTGAAATCCAGGGTTCCCAGCCTCAGGCTGCACGTCTGCCTTTTTCTCTGCACAGAGCACAGCACCGAACTTTTCTAACGTGTGCGTGGCAGACGTGGCATTTATCTGGGTTATTTGGGGAAGTCACAAACTTTTACAAGGAATTATAGTGCATGGAAATACTGCTGGCTCAGGCAGCAGTATTTCAGGGAAGAATATGTGCAAACCTGGCTTGCCTATGGCGCCTTGACTTGTTCTTTTTGTCTTCTTGGCTCCACGTGTGCTTCCTTTTTGGAAGACTGCTCTCTTACGGGAGAGATGATGGCCAAAGGCCCAGCAATCAGAAGTATGGAATGGCTCGCTGGTTGAGGGAAAGTGGTGGAAAAGATGCCAGCTGGGAACAGGCTGCACCACAGAAGATGAAACATCCCAGGAGTTTTGGCTAGCTCCTCTCATCCTGGTCTATGGCTGAAGCAAAGAATTTATACCCCCACAGGAGAGATTTCCACTTTCTGCCAGGCTTTTTAATTTCGTACTGGGGTTTTTTTTTCTGGCATCACCTCACTCCTCTGAGTTTACCTGAACTAAAAAATATATCCCACCCACCTCTGTTTTCCCTGTGTGCGGGTTTCCATGTCACCATTCTGCAGTGCTTGTGTGAAGATTGGAGAGACCTTCCTGCACCACAGCAGTGGCCACTTGTTTGTTCAGGTCCCCTGGGGACAGGGACTGCCTGGGGAGAGCTCTTGGGGCATGCAGACAACATGGCTTAGATCAGGAAGCACTGCAAAATTGATGATGGTAGGAATATGCAGCCTCTTTAATTCCAACTTTGCTCCCCTTTTCTGGTTGGTTTCTAAAGGGAGCAGTACTGCTTCCCTTGCTGGCCGTGTCCCTTGTGTGAGGGGTCATTCATGGGACATTTGCTCAGCTGTCCCTCTTCCCAGTAATAACACCCAGTTCAAGCTCATGGTGAGTTATCAGTTTCCAGCTCGTCACTGCAGGACAGCCTACTGTTTCCCACTTACTGCAACAACTCATCCATCACTTTTATCTTCAGGATCTCCTTCTCTCTGCAGTCCTTTGCCTTCCTCTGTGAGTCTGCCCAGCTCCTACTTCAGCAGTTCCCACATCTCCACCTGTCTACCCCAGTCTCTTCCCTCATGTCCTCCAAAAATCCCATGTACACTCGTGTTCCTGATTTCTCCCTCATTGAAATGAACCACCTGAAGGCAAGACTTCTCCTACTCCTACACACTTCTTGTTTCACAGCCAGATCAATACCATGTTTTATCATTTCTGTGCGTGGCCAGAGGCTGGCAAGTCACAGAATCATAGAACTGTTAGATTTTAAAAGATCTCTAAGTTTATGTCCAACCGTTTGCCCAGCAGAGCCACGTTCACCACTAAACCATGTCCCCAGAAACAAAAACATCTATATGTTTTTTGAACACTTCCAGGGATGGCAATTCCCACCACTTCTCTAGGCAGCTTGTTCCAAAGCTTAACCACTCTTTAAGTGAAGGAATTGTTCGTAACATCCAATCTAAACCTTGTGTGGCACAGCTTGAGGCCATTTCTTCTCATCCTGCATAGTCCTCTCATCCATGTTTTTGGGAGGTGCATCAATTCGAGCAGCCACAGCAAGCTGCTCTTAGGCATGGAGCAAGCCAGATGGCTCTTCTGGGTCTGGTAGGTTGAGGGCATTTCCATGCATCCCTCATGCAGGTTGCTATGAAAACCTGATGGGCTTTTATTTTCATGCATGCAAGGCATATAGTAGCACTCATTTAAATGTTACTTTTTTACACATCATATTCAAAACCTATATTTTTAAGTGTTTCTCCCTTCACTCTTCACTCAGTGTTTCTCCAGCTTCCTCAGTCTTTTTGACTCCACCTCTCTTCTTCAAACCAGTTTCTGTAACTGTAACACTTAGGGCCGATCTCCTGTTCTCTCCTGAAAGCACAAACACATAGTGTATATGCTCATTGAGTTTGGGTGTTTTTATTTAAATTCCACAGTTAGCTGCTGTACTTGAGCTCAGAAATGTTTTTCAAGGATCCAGGAGAATGAGGGTAGCAGAGAAATCCTATTACATCAGTGATTCCTGGGTTTATTACTGTTACTCTGCTACAGGCATTGCACTGGCAAGCACAAAGGTAACGGCATGATGTGAGAATCATTTTCTTACTTGCTGCAAGCAGTATGCTTCAGGCTGACCAAAAATTTCCTGGCATGCCTTTTGTGGGGGGAATTAATTTCAGCCTCTGCTGCTGCAAAGCCTGAGGTGTCAGTGAAAGAAACAGCAGCCAAGGAGTTCCTGAGCAGCCTGAGACGGCAGCGGCGCCAGCTGTGGGACAGAAGCCAGCCCGACGTGCAGCAGTGGTACCAGCAGTTCCTGTACCTGGGCTTCGATGAGCAGGTGAGTGTACAGTGGAGAGGGCTTATAAAAAAGGGGGAGAATAGGCAGGGATAGAACAAGGGGGTTTGGTTCAAATGAAAAAAAGAAGAGATTTAGATTAGATATGAGGAAGAAATTCTTTACTGTGAGGGTAGTGAGGCACTGGAACAAGTTGTCAGAGCAGTGATTGATGCCCCATTCTTCTAACTGTTGAAAGCCAGGTTTGATGGGGTCTAGTAGAAGGTGTCCCTGCCCAGATTTCTTCTTCAAAGTGGCAAATATCTCTTACATGTTAAGAGATCCCTTCCTTATTTTATTAGTAGAAAAAAAATTACATTAAGGCCTTGTATGGAGTGTCCGCTATCAAGCTTAATAAATCGTAACTGGACATATGAACAAAGTTTGCTTTGTGGATAGAATAGGTGGCCAGACTTAAAGCAATCAATTGTATTTCAGGAAAGTAATTTGTCAGCCTCAACCTAATCAGCTTTTAAACATGCTGAGAAATCCACACCTAGCTGGCTGTGATTGGCACTCCTCAGTGAAATGGCACTGACATTTTGCACCCAATGCACACTTGTGCCTCCACAGTGTGGGCAGCTCCTGACCATCATGAACACTGGCAGCTGTGCCTCCACTCTACACGAGAAAGGAAAGCCCTTGGATAATATTCAGCCAGCTTCCCTTCAAACGAGAAGGATACATTTTATAAAAACACTTTATTTCTAAAAACACTGGAGTGGAATCAAACTCTGCACAAAGCTCTACTAAAGAGATGCTGGAATAGGGGAAAAAAGTGTGTTTGGTTGCAGTCCCACATGTAGAATAATTTCTGCTTTTAATAAGAGGTAAAAATAGTTATAGATGTTGAATTCTTGGCTTCTGCCAGCTGTATGAATATGTTTAATGAGATTGCATTGGCACAGGCAAACTGGAGTACATTTTAAACTTCCATGCTATGTGGATTGCTTGGAAGATGAATGCCCTCATTTTCAAAGCTGCAACAATTAGAAAAATAATCCTTTGCTTGAGCTGAAATAATGAAGGGTACTTTTCCCCTAAATTCTCCTGGATATTATGTGGATAAAAGTAACTTCCCAACAGCATGACTACATCCCCCTTCACTAAAAGGAATAGGAAAAATAGGAAAAGTGGTTTTACACATCAGAAACTGAAGACTGGGGGAAAATACTTAGGAACAAGGACAAACCATGTAGATAAAGTGAATTCTCCTCTGAGTTCCTGTATGCATTTCAAAAGCTGAAATGAGGCTTGTTGTGGGATACAATGAATCCACTTAGTAGGTTTTCTTGAGTATTAAGACACAGTCTTAACAATGAAATAACTGTTTGTTCCAGGAAAGGACTTGATCCATACTTAGCCATTGTGTATTTGCAAAACTTTTTTTTTTTCCCCCAAATCTCAGCCAAAAATATTTCCAAAGAGTCATTCAGATGGAAAGGCTTTGACTTGGCAAGTATTTGATATCCTTGCACACTATTTTTCCTCTGCTGTTGTGAGCAGAACTGAAGTGCTTATTGCATTTCCATAGCTGGAAGGCTGCATTGCACCTTTGTTTTCACCCGTGCAAGGTGGGAGTGAGAGATCACAGACAGAAAGCAAGAGCCTGTTGCACCCCAGCCAGGGACATTGCAACTAAAGTCACATGGCAAGGGACAACTAAACCTTTAGATTTTAACTGCAAAATATTGATATAATTTTACAGTCCACCATTGACAGGGTAATCGAAATATCAAAGGTGCTTAGTGCACATTTCAGACGAAGGTGCTCTCAGTTTAAGCACTTTGCAGTGGGCAGGGGATGTGGAGCTGGGCAGGACAATTCCTGCACTCAGGATCCTGATAATCCCATAGAGAAGGTGGGTACAAGTCACAAAACCCCTTAGATCTAGAGATTTCATTTATGACAAATTGCAAAGGATCCGAATTTCTGAAAAAGGCTCTTGCACCACTTCTGTTTCATCTCATCGCTGTAGTTTCAGTCTGGAAAGCAAATGCTCTCCTTTTTTTATTTCTGGCAGAAATTTGAAGATGACATCTCCTACTGGACAAACTTGGGGCGTGCTCGTAATGAATACTACGGTGGCTACTACCAGCACCACTACGATGAAGATTCTCCGATCGGCCCACGAAACCCGCACGCCTTCAGGCACGGAGCAGGCGTCAACTACGACGATTACTGAAGCCATTTATCCATTTATCCTACTATAGCTGCTGCCTGTAGGGCTGCACTGGGTGAGGCTGAGCCCTCCCGCAGTCAGAATGACCCCACTTTTTCCTCTATTCATGTCAAACAGTAAGAGTAAAGGAACTGCCACACTTTGATGAAAGCAGCTTTTTAAAACTATCATTACTTAGTAGTACACTATATATATAAAGTGTTATAGAAATAAAGCTTTTTTGATAATCAGGTTGCCATTATTTAGTAGACTTCATAACAGTAAATTTAATTCCAACTGTATTACTACAGATTCTTTTTTAAAGGGCTTTTTCATTTGCTGTCCTACAATCAATTGAAAAATTACATTATATCATTTACTTTGGCATACAGAATACATAATATAAGCCACTACATTTAAGATGTGCCTGCCCATTCACATTTCTATTAACAAATAAATGCAATTATTCTTAGGAGAAAAGAAAAAAAAAAGGTTTTTTGTCAATTGAAATGCTGCCTTGTTGCTTCTTCTGCCGTTTCCATACTTACAGTGTGCAGCCCTCCAAGCCTGACACATCACTTCTGCAGCTCCTGTTGGGTCAAGGACACTGATATTCACAAAAGCTAAATTCAGTGCAGACGAGCTTGCCTACCTACAAAGCCTGTGCAAGGATCCTCCAGGGAACGGGCTCAAAGCAGGAACTCGACTTCAGCAGTAACTGCTGAGGTGCAGAGCATCCAGCCTGAGCGGCCCCAACCCCTCCCAGGCACGATAACCCAAAGGTTATCTTTGCTGAATACTCCCCTTTGTGTCCATTCCACTTAGCGTCAAGCTTTCAGCCTAGCTCAAACAGGGAATAAAACAGCAAAGTAAGCTATTTAAAATTGAGTCAGTGTCAGACAGCATCCAAAACAATTCCCTGACATCATAATTTCCTACTGCAAAATTCCCACTACCCCAATTCAGACTGAAATATACATGTTAGGCTGAGCATCAAAATGTATCAGAGACCAGGCATCTGTTAGCGAAACATTGTGGATTGAAGGGGGATTGTTGGTGGCATCATGTATGTTAAGAATCCCAATGCTTGTATCACAGCAACATCAGCCTGGGAGGGAGATTTCAGCCGTCAGGGGCTTCAGGAGGAGCTGGGCAGAGGAAAGCACTGCTGGTATTTGACAAGTGTAGAGGACTGGGAAGGGGCAGGTGAGGAAGGCTGGCTGCTCCATGACTTCTGCAACTGAAGAATCAGGATAAAGGGAAATTAAGTATGTTCTACCAACTGTATCAGTCAGAGAAGACAGCATGGAAGCCTTAGCTCTCTCTCATCGAAAGCTTACAAGAAATTTCCAAAGCATGGATGATGACACCACCATTCTTAACACTTCACTTCTTTCTTAACTCTGAGTGTATTTCCTAATCTTTTGCCTAAAGCCCTTGTTGTGTGATGCACTGGCGTCTAGGAGATGTAGCCCAGCATCACACAGCTCCCTGCAGGAACACTTCCCAGGAGACAGCTCTTTGCTCTTGAGAGAGCCAAACTCAACAAACATGTTGGTCACTTCTCTGCACACACAGATCCATGCTGGCCTAACGTGCTCCAAACCCTCAGCCTTCCCTAGGCTCAATCTCTGCAGAATCCTTGCCAGTTTAACTGGTTTAGACTGGCGTGTTTCCTTGGTAGAAGAGCCTTTATTCCAAATACAGAACAATCACATTCTGAGTCAAGCACAGACTCTTTTGCACAGTTGGAAAACACCTATTCCTAGAAGAATACTTCCATTTTGTATATTATCCAAGAAGTGCACTGAATTTGGCAACATTTGAACCATGCTGGTAATTTCCATTATTTCCCAGAATTTACAATTGGGAATTCAGACCAGCTGAATAAGGAAGAATAAAAAAAGTGCTGTAAATAAAGACCATCTCTCCCTAGGCCTTTGCAAACTCTGTCCATTCTGGCAGGGCTGACTCAGTCTAGCAGCTTTCTGTGCCTTGCAGGCTCACGATCAAATCGATGTTCTCTGTCTTCTGAATTCTCTAGGAGGAAAAAAAAATCTTTTCCATTATATTGTGTTGCAGGGTTAAGGAGTGAGACACAGTTAACTTTCTACATAACAACATGTATGATAACATGTTTTAGATTTGTGACTAAACCAGCGTAGGAAGAACACAAATGTTTTTGCTTTGGGTGAACAATGCCTGCACAGCCTGTTTTCCACACTGCCCCCCAGCAGGCAGGCTAGGAGAGTACATGGGTGAGAGAGCTGACCCCAAACTGGACAACTCCCAAGGATGTAATGACTTGGTTAACACTAAAAGCTGGGAAGAAGAGAGTGGGGGTTTTCAGGGAAGCCATTTCTCAAGAGACTGGGTGAGCACCAGGCTTGCTTGGGAGAGCTGCTGAATGGCCTTTGCATCACTTGGGTTTTCTTCTTCTTCACTCATTAAACTGCTCTTACCTCAGTCCTCAAGGGTACTCATTCTGATTGTCTAATTTTCTCCCAATGGGGCAGGAAAAGGGAATGGCTGTGAGGGAACTCTGCTGCTGGCTGGGGTAACTCATCACAAGGCAACAGCTCTGAGGTGAGGGCACCCTCCTTCTTGCAGAGGGGTGCACCTGCCTTGCACTGAAGCAGTTGCAATGATGGAAAGCAAGCAAGGATGAGCCAACAGGCTTGGGCAAAAAGAGGAAGAATACTGGGGAAACAAAAACTCATCCGATATGCATGGAGTACTTCAAAGTTTAATTTCCCTTGACTATTTCTGTCCCAAAACATAGACAGAACTGTGCACCTCCTCTCAGCATTTCCATTCTGCTGTGCAGACAGCACAGAGCACTTCACATCACCATCACCCTCAGCCACCCCAGCACTGACATAGCGTAACCTCTCCAGCAAGACAGAAGAGCAGCAATTGTTCATTGTGGCTCCCTTCAGAGCAGGAACAGCTTGGCAATGCTCCAGTGCTTCATGTTTCAAAGCCTGATGCTGCAACATCCCCGAGTTTGTCGGTGTCAGCCAGGCAGAACCATCAGATTCACGGGAAGTGCTGCCTCCTTTGCTGGTAACACCTGCCAGCAAACCTTTCTGCCAAAATGGAATTACTGCTGTGTCTTTTGTTGTTGTTTTTGGAGGAAGAGAGGTCATCATTCCTTTCAAGTTCCTACTTATGACACAAACATGCTGGGGATGGGGGATTGAGCACTTCTATCCCAGGACTGCTTCCCAGGTGGAAGATGCAGCCTTCCTACTTAAAACAGCTTTCTTTGCAGTGGGGTGGAAGGAGCCCAGATTGCTGTGTGTGGCTTTGACGGCACTTAAGGCCACTGTTCCCTGTGGCTTTGTGCTTTGGACCTTCCAGCTGTTTCAGCTCTGGTATGGACCAGAGCATTCAAAATATCTTGCTCTTTGCTGAAGAGCATATCAGCATCTAGGGAAAACACTGCAAGAATAAACAAGCTGGTGCTTGTTCCAGGCTGTAAATGGCAACAAACCAAGATGGACAAAGACTTGTCAGATAGCTATTAGGAAATAAGCAAGTGAGAGAAGGACTGAGACAAGGAACAGAGAATCAAAATCCATTTTTTTTTGCAAGAAATATGAACTGTTATTTTAGCAAAGCCTCTCTTGTTAATACAGAATTGCACCCAGGAGCCTCCTGCCACAGAGCCCTGCTTTGCTTCAGAACTATTGCTGCTCTTCATGGTAGCTCTAAGGAGTCAAGAGCTGCAAATAAGGCATTCCCTTCTGCCACTGAAATCCCCACACTGGGTAACGTTCACTACAAAGGAACTATGGATTTGTGGCAGCTACATTCCCAGCAACTTCAGGGAAGGAATGTACGGTTGCTAGGGCTAGCAGTGTTGAGTATACAGTTGCTGTTTACAAAGCAGCTTCTTCCTGTGGACCAGCCCCTGACCAGCCCCTAACAACCCTCAGAGACTTCCTGGCCTCAAGTAGCATTAAACTCAATACTAGCAAGGCTGGGGACTGGCTCAATCCATCAAACTAATCGAAGCCTTGTTTTGCCCTCTGTACCCTGTTCTCTAAGGCAATTATGCCCCTTTCAACTTTGAAACTCAATTCAAACACTAACAAAAAGTGAAGCCTTTTTCACCAGTATATAACTTTTCTAAAAATGTATTGGAAAAAAAATAGATTAGGACACATTAATATCCAGGTGACAATGAACTCACTGGCTACTAAACCCACCAGAGTCTATACAGGTTAAGAGAAGCTGCAAACACCTTAGACACAGAAACTACCAATCACGATTTCCCCATACAGCAAAAAGTCAGGCATGAGGTTTCTCTAGACTACATATTCATGAAACTACTTGAAATGCATTAGGTCTGCAAACCCCTCTGTAGCTTGTCTGCAGACTAGCAATGTGGCTAATAAGGCTCCTTAGCAGCCTACATAGAGAAATAAAGTACATCATGCTTAAAAAAATAAAATCCAATTGTGATCTCATGCTCTAGTAACCTCCAGCAGCAGGAGTGGTCCTCCTTGTGAGAACCAAAGGAAACACAACAGCAGGTGCCTCACACATCTTTCTTTCTGGAAAGCTGGTCTCACTCAGCAGCACCAAGCTGGCCAGTTCCCTCTGCTGCACTGTGTATTTCCTACTGAGAGTGAGGATTTGCACCCAGTACCAGCTGAGCTGCCCATTTGTACAGATCACTGTGAGTAAAGAGGCACCTCAAGTTTGGTCATGTTAGTTTTACCTTGTCTGCCTGACGAGATGACAGCAGAAAATTCCAATTCTCAAATTTTCTAGTGGAAAAAAAATCCTGAGAGCATGTCTCAGCTTTACTCCCAAATCCTGTATTTCCAAGCTTTCAGTGCTGTATTCTACTACCCTCCATCAAAAGAGGCTCTTTTGGAGAGGCAGCAGCTCTTTCTTACCTGGGGTTCCCAACACACTTGATGCCTCTTTCTCCCGCTGGGATGTCTAACCCCAGACAGGAGCAGAGCACCAACATGCAAACCTCCATCTGCCTTCCTGAAGACTCATTTCAGATCAGACAACTTCAAAGTACCCCAGACTTTCAGTTTCAAGCATCAGCAGACTCTTAACATGATTCATGCCTTTCGAATCAGCTCCACAGTCATTCAGTGGCTTCAAAACCTAAGGGCAACAGCTGCCTCAGCTCCTGTTGCTAGAAGACACTATTAAAAAAAATATGGGAGCTGAAACAGGAACTTCTGAAACAAAACCTAGAAACAGTAGGAGGAAAATAGCAAATTCAGTCTGGTCGTTCGGGCCAGTGGGAGGCATCACACAGAGATGGGTTGTACTGGTACCAGTGACTTGCCCTCTCTTCAATTTATTCCTTTTATGAAGGAAGCCAGGCTGTGAAGTAACCTGAAGAGCTTTTAACTCCTCTCTTGTATCTAAAGGTTCAGACTTCCCAAGGGATTATTTTTTTTGAACATACACATTTTGTTGTGCTTGTCTACAGTAGCATGCTTGTGTCTGTACAAAT